ACCTTGGTTCAGGCAAGTCTGCTTTAAATAACTAGCTGGGGCGTCTTAAAGAATTTAATCTCTGTGCGTCAATTTCCTCTTCAGTTAAGTAGACCTAATTCCCCTGTTATCTCCCTGTTCATCTCATAATATAACACATAAAGCATTTAAGCAAGGTCAGTAAAATTTAGCTGGTATTGTATAAACAATAAAGTTTAATGTTATCTTGCTTATCAATTTCTCTCTGTTTCCCCATATTTGGTTATTTGTGTTTCTCTCCTTCCTTGGGTGCTTCTAAGGAAGTGCATAAATTTATATCTATCTTTTAATTAGTTTCAATTATATATTTTTCTTCAGACTGTTAATCAATGCTTCATGTGATATTAAAAAAAAACCTATTTTTTCCCAATCTATGACTCAGATCATCCATTTTCTTCATTTATTTAGTATAATTATTTCTTTTTTATTTTATACAATTATCATTTTTAAAAGCCAGAGAATATGAAGTTCTTGTTTGAAGCTGAAACTATATGATGTATTTTTTTTCCTGAATTTGGAAGACACATAAACTTAACAAGGCAACCTAATTATCAAACTAATCAATATACCAATTTGTTACATCCTAGTTTTATTTCCACAATTCCTTTAAGAATGAGAAAAGTAATTGCTCCTTGTATTGTACTCTTTACTAGAAAACATTGGGAGGGAAAAAATGAAAGTGCTTATGCTATGATAAATTGTAGGGTACAGAAAGCAGAATGTAGACAAATCTGCAGCTTGAAGGAGGAAAGATAGCGACAACTATTTTGATTAATAAGGATAGAAATGGTATCTATGAGAAACTCTGCTATATAACACTATGTGTTACAGGTACACATCGTGTAATCTTCAGTCAGGATAAACTTAATTATCCTTTCAAATACTCAGTATTTCTTTACAAAACACCTCAAATCATATTTTTGCTTTTTAAAACAGAAATATGGGGGTGGCACAATGTCTCATAGGCTAATCCTCCACTTGTAAGTGTTGATACTGTATATGAGCATCGGTCATACCTAAGTTAGCTTCACTTCGAGTCCAGCTCCCTACGTATGGCCTGGGAAAGCGGCAGAGGATGGCTCAAGTCCTTGGGCTGCTACACCCATGTGGGAGATCCGGAAAAGTTCCCTGGCTCCTGGTTTAGATCAGCTCAGCTCTGGCCATTTGGGGAATGCAATCAGTGAATGGAAGATCTTTCTGTCTCTCTCTTGGTGTGTAATCTGCCTTCTAAATAAAAATAAAATAAATCTAAAAAAAAAAAAAGGTATACATTATCTATGTTCACTTTAACTGTGCAATAGATTCCCAAAACAATCTAGTCGTGCTGTCCCCCATTCCTCCTTCTCAAGCTTTGGTAACCTCAATTATATACTTAACTTTCTTTTTTTTAAAGTGTATTTACTTATTTTGAAAGAGTTACAGAGAGAAAGGTAAAGACAGAAAGACACACAGAAAGATCTTCCATCCTCACTGGTTCATTCCCCAGATGACTCACAACTGTCAGGTCCAGACCAGGCCTAATGCAGGAGTTCAGAGCTTCATTCAGTTCTCTTACATAAGAGGAAAAGGTGCAAACACTTGGACCATCTTCCACTGCATTTCTCAGGCCATTAGCAGGGAACTAGATTGAAAACAAAGCAGCTAGTACTTGAATGAGTACCCAAATGAGAAACCAGTGTTATTGGCAGTGGTTTTGTCTATTTGCCACAACACCAGCCTCTTTCTTAGTTTGAATTTTGCTGAGATTACCTTTTTGTAAACTCCACATATGAGCAAAATCATTTTACCTGTTTTTCTGTTCTCGGCTTGTTTCACTTACCATTTGCTGCAGCAAATGACAATATTTCATCCTTTAATGGCTACTTTAATGTGTATATGTACCACATGTTTTTAACCCATTCATCAATGGATAAGCACTTAATGCTCCCATTTACTGACTATTGTGAATAGTGTTGCAATAGAAGTGGGAGTGCAGATGTCTGGGTATGTATTCAAGAGGGATTTACTGTGTCATACAATAGTCCTAATTTTAGCAGAACACCTTTTCTGTTTTCTGCAATGAATTATTCATTTAAGTTTATACAAATAAGTTCCTTTTCTGTAACCATTGGAAATCTGAATTGTTTCTTGATCTTTTTTTTTTTTTTCAGATGACTCACTATTGGAGATTAGCAACATTGGGCAGAACGAAATGATGAACCCAAGACACAAACACTGGAGAAATCTCACTAAGAAATATCTCTAGGAATTTATTCTGAAACAAAATCTTAAATATAATGATCAGTCAACACCTTAAGCAAAAAACACAAAGTAGAAACATTCTAAATTTCTAAATATTTCTAAATAGAAATAATCTTCAAAAAGCTTTTAAAACATGTATATTATGAAAAAACAAGCATGGCTTTCTAAAGTAGACAGTATCTCCCTCCATGTTATGAGCTTTATCCGTGGAGAAAATATTTCAAGACACCTATTGAATGCTTGAAATAGAACAGAATCTAACTTAAACTATGAGTATGATGCTCCTGTGTATACATTCCAGTGGAAAAGTTTTAATTTACAGACTGCACAGTAAGAGGTTAACAAAAATTAAGATAATTATGTAATTAAAGTTCATTAACATTTTTAAAATATTTCCAGAATTTTCTTTTTTGACATTTTTGGGCATTTTTGACAATTGCTTTATGACAAATGAGGCAACAGACAAAGAAAGAATAAACAAAGGAGAACTCTGTGTAATCCCTGTTGAAATTATTTGCTTTTTCTACTTATTTTCGGAACATTTTCACAACTACCACTTCCTGAACTTACCCATTATGTGCCATCATCCCATATGAGAAACATCTCTGAAGGCTTAAATTGAACAGCACATGTATCATGGTAACTTAAACTAAAGCCATTGAAATATTCATACAATTCAAACCTTAGAACTTCATGTACTCCTGGAAAGTTAAAGGAATCTTATTGAATTTGAGCAACTCAGAAAGACAAGGAAATGTGGCATGTTAGCTAACTAACCTTCCTTTTGTGGGGAGAGGATCTCATGTTTTCAAACACTATACGCCTTTTTCTAAGTTCAATAATCACATTGTATTGCCGCAGTGATAGTACAAGAACAAAATGCAGAAGCCTCATCCCTAAACTGCCCAATGCTTTCTAGCCACAATAGAAAAATATTGTCAAGCTGGGGAGAAGGAAAATCATGCAGAAGTAGAAAAGTTATCAATACCAATTCAGCACGGGACAGGCACCAAAAGTCCATTTTTAAGTTTCAGAATCTGACAGCGTAGGGAACCTATGCCTCTTTACAGGAAAATTAATTTGTCTAGAATAAGGATGAAAGTCTAAGGTAAGACAGATGACAAACCTTAGAAATCTGCCAAAAAGTGGGGAAAAGAAACAGCTTCCATGTAAGTTGAGAAAGATAGGCCAAGAACATCATACAGCTGTAATCTCAAGGGACTCCTCTAGTAAAATAAGAATGAAGAGTGTGCTGTGAAATGTGGCCTGGTTATGTGGCTGCAGCTAAGTAGTCAGGTGGTGAAACATCAGAGAATTGAGAACTTTGTCTCTGAATAAGAACTAAGGAACAGGAAAGGAATGGGACTTAAGTTAGACTGTTCATAACACTATTAGTCACTTTGTTCGTGCTCTAACTTCAAAACACAAAGTAAACACAGAGAATTTGAGATTTACCTAATGGATGAAAGAGATAACAAATTAAAGAATAGTGTTTACTACCAGAAAAAAAAATGTCCTGTTTCCATTAAAAATCTTGGGTGAAGACAGGTAATTTAAAATGTAAAATAGCTTCTCATTAAAATAAAAATTTGCCAATTTTTATGCAAGTGACACTTCTATCTACAGATAAAGTGCTTAGGTTTAGGAATTCCCTTAGATGTTAATTCATATTATATTTAAAAAGTGTTACTTGAAGAGATTATTCCTTTTAGAGTATTTCAGCAATATAATTTCAAGCAATTATAGATTAAAATTTGCAGCCTGATGTGACTTATTACGTCAAACTCGACAAAACTAAGAAGATCACACAAAGAATTTCTACTTTTTAATCAAAGATGATTTCCAATTGGCTAGCAAAACTACTGGCATCACTTTCATTGTAGTATAAGGATGATGTTACTTCTAAAATCATCTATTATGTGCTTTATCTTCAGGCCCAAGTATAATATGCTTCTTTTGGAAAATAAAAAGTATCACCCTGTCCTGACCTGCAGGACACAACGCTCAAACTCAGGATGGACTGGGAATGCTGGGCTGCTAGCCCCCGGACTGCTGGCCCAAGAAACACACGGACACATGCTCTTGGTGGAAAAGAGTGTCTCATGCTCTTTATTTTACTCCTCCTATATACACCTTCTTCTCTAGGGGAGGAGGAGAAGGGGAGGGATTTCCTGGAACTAATTATCTTCATTGCAGCAGGAAAGGAACTAATCATCTACTGAAACCGGAGGAACTAATCGTCTGTATTGAAACGGGAGGAACTAATTATTTGAACAGGAACAAGGGTGGAGGTTCTATTCCACTTGCTCTTACAGAGGATGTTCTGGCCTAAGATCTTGCTTGCTGTAGCCCTGCTTGCCCAAAGCAGGCTTTGCAATGCAACAGGTTGTCAGGCATGCCAAGTCTAAGGCCCATAAGTGTGTGGCTCCTAACATCACCCATTGTATATTATTTTTGTAACTGGGTATATACTCCATACTGCCTTAGCCTGATTAATCATTATAGAGTATTTCAGTGAGAATTCGGAATGTGATTGTTATAAAGAATAATTCCATCCATCTTCAGACAAATGCACATAAATGTCACCTCTTTTCATCAAATGTGACCCAAAAAGTACTGTGCTCAAAAGCCCAGGGGCTTTTGAGATATTTCAACAGTCTTCAAGAAATCAATCTTACATGAAACTGAAGGAAAACATCGAATGTCATTGAGCAATAAGCTTGGTTCTGTCAGCGCCCTACCTCTGAGCGGAAGCCTTAGGGTGTTTCTCTTCCAGTTTCCTCACCAGTGCTGCTGTCAGCTGCTTTGTCTCCTCAAGAGAACCTTCTGGCATTCAGTCGATGTCTGAGAGTTCTGGTAGCTGCTTCAGAGCAGGGATGCTGGCATTATTTTGGCAGCACCTAGTAAATGAAATGTAGGAATAATGTAGCAAATTGGCCTTGAGTGGAAATATCTAAGCTACATATATAGCAAAAATACAATGTCTTTTGGTTTCATAAGTCTTCAGATAACACCTAAATAATTATATGTAGCCAAAAAAAAGAAGGCAGTCCTAAGAAAAAGGTTATTATAGCATCATTTATGTAACAAAATAATTGCACATAATAGAGGCATTTGCTGAAATATAAGTGTTGTGTAGATATTATGTGTATTATGTTAAACAATTAGCAAAATTGAGATGTGAGTTTATGTTTGTGCCTACAATTTGGGCAGTTTTTCTGTTTGCAAAATACATTTTAGAGATGTATTTCTGGCTTGCCCCTGACTCACTCCATTGATCCCTTCTAAGTTGCTGCCATATTCCTATGAGCTGCAGTCCAGGCACTGAGGTGAAGTGATACTCTGTCTACTCTGTCTGAGCTACGTTCACCAGATAGATCAGAGCAAACTGAGGATCACCCTGCAAGCAAGAAAAGCTCAATAAAAAGCAGCAGCTTCTCTTTTAAGCAGTCAAAAGCCTATCCAACTGAAAATAGGAGAGGATACCTCAGACTAACAATAAACTGATCTGGCTACTAAACTTTGCAATTCATTATCAATTTTAGATTGATCACAATCTAGCCAAATAACTTAAATATTAAAATAAAGGTTAACCCTATCAAATCCAGGTAGCTACTCTTACCCTTCAGCTTGATGAAATTAAAATGTCCAAATCACCCTTAAATATGAATAAGAGAATTTATTGCATTAGCTCTACAAATGTGGTCTTAATATAGACAAAATACATATATGCAGCAGGTGGTTGCTGTGTTTCTGCTGCTATCCAGTTTTGTTCTAAAAAAGGAGTCAGATAAGATGGACGAGCGTGAATGAATTAAGCTTAGCTCAGACAGATAGCTGAGAACTGTGGACAGGAAACAAGAGTGTCCTCTTCCACGCATGAATAATAATTCATGATTAGTTACTAAATAGCAAACATGACAACAAATATTTACTGTAAACTAAGTATAATGAAGTACACTAAGTCCTGAGGTCCTTGATGAGCCACCCAGTGCTATCATTTAGGATCCTCTGCCAAATAAAATGGGTGTAGTTCGATATTTAAGCCATATATATATATATATATATATATGTATATATATGTATATGATTCATTTTATTTTATTGCAAAGTCAGATACACAGAAAGGAGGACAGACAGAGAGGAAGATCTTCCATCCAATAATTCACTCCCCAAGTGACCGCAACAACCAGAGATGCACCGATCAGAACCCAGAAGCCAGGAACTTCTTCCAGGTCTCTCATGTGGGTGCAGGATCCAAAGGCTTTGGGCCATCCTGGACTGCTTTCCCAGGCCTCAAGCAAGGAGCTGGATGGGAAGCAGGGCCACCAGGATTAGAACTGATGCCCATGTGGGATCCCGGCACATTCAAGGCGAGGACTCTAGCTGCTAGGGCACCATGCCAGGCCCATGCCAAATGTATTAATACAAGACGCTAATAATGGAAGAAGTTGACTATGGGGTATAAAAGAATTCTTCACACCACTTCACAAGGGTTCATTTTATAAATTTAAAATTATTCGGAAATAAAAGTATTTCTAAACACCATTTTAAAAACTCATTGTTGCTCATTAGACTTAGTGGGGCACTCATTTGTTGGCCAAAGACACTTGTACCTTGGCTCTCATAGAACTAGTGTGTGTCACTGCCTTAAGTCCCTTTGGTCTGCTGGGCCCTACATTTCATTGCTGGTCCTTTCAATCACATCATCAGCAGGGACACATCTGGCAGCACAGAAATAATACGTTAATGTTGTGGAAAAAGACTCAGATAATACGGCCATTCAGTCCATGTGTACATAATTTTAAATGTGTTAGCCTACTCACATTTTAATTTGTCTTCTAAATTTATATATATTTATGGTAGGAGCATTTCATTTCCTTCAATTTACTTTCCAGAATTTATCTGGGATGTGAGTGTTGTGGCACATGAGTTGGGCTGCCACTTGGGCTGCCCACCTTCTGTTTAGGCTCCTGGTTGGAGTTTCCACGACTGTGCACTTCCTATACAGTTTCCTAATAATGTACCTCGGAGGTAGTGGGTGATGGGGAAAGTGCTTGAATTCTTGCCACTTAGTTGGAGATCCAAATGAAGTTCCCTGGCTCCTAGCTTTAGCTTGACTCAGCCCTGGCTGTTGTAAATGTTTGGTATGTGAACCAGCATGTGGGAGGTCTGTGTGTGTATATGTGCATGTGTTTTTCTCTTTATGTGTGTGTGTGTGCACAAGCATGTCACTTTGCATAAATAATTATTTAAAACTAATAAGCAAGCAACAATTTGAGAGATAAAGAGAAAGTAAATTCCTATATACTGGGTCACTTCCTAAATGACCACAGCACTGGAGAGTGGGCTAGGCTGAAGCTGGGACTCAATCCATATTACTGTTATGGAAAAAGAGATATTTAATAACATTAAATGTTGTTAGTTAATGTTTCAGTAATGCATTTTCAAAATGTAAGATAATGTTTACGTCAAGTATATTCAAATTGTAAGGCACTCCAGAACCTTAAACGCTTATTACTGACTGTAAGAAGTGAATCTGAAAAGTCTACACACTGTATGATACCAACTATATGACATTCTGCAAATGATCAAACCATGATGATAATGAAATGATCAGTGGTTGCCAGGTTTAGGGAGGTGAAGAGATGAATACGCATAAGGATAGAGAACTTCAGGAATCAAATTATTCCATATGATACAACAGTAGATATGAATCATTTTACTTATTATGCATTAGTTCAAACTTAGAGAATATAAATAGTAAGCATGAACCTAAACAAAAACATGGACTTAGGGTGACAATGATGTGATAATGTATGTCAGCTGAGGATTACATACATATATATTTTTTAATGTATTTATTGGGCCCATTGTGATAGCCCAGGGTTAAATCCTGCCCTTGCATGCACCAGGATCTCAGATGCTCCACTTCCCTTCCAACTTCCTGCTTGTGGCCTGGGAAAGCAATAGAAAATTGTCCAAACTCTTAGGACCCTGCACCCACATGGATGACACCAAATAAACTCGTAGCTCCACGTTTGGATTGGTTCAGCTCCAGCCACTATGGCCATTTGGGGAGTGAACCAGTGGATGGAAACTCTTTCTCTCTGTCCCTCCTCTCTGTAAATCTGCCTTTCCAATAAAAAAAATAAATCTGGGAAAAAAAGAGAAAAATGTGTTTACAGAGAGCGGGAGATATAGATAGATATGGAGATAGAGATAAAGAGAGAGAGAAATAGGAAGAAAGAGAGAGGTAGAGGTAGAGGTAGAGATAAAGATAGAGATGAACCATTCACTGGTTCGCTGCCCAAGAAGCCAGCAACAGCTAGGGCTGAGCTAGGACAAATCTAGTAGCCAGGAGCTTCATTCAGACATCCCATGCAGTGGCAGAGCCATAAATCCTTAGGTCAGCTTTCACTGCTTTCCTAGACCATTAGTAGGGAGATGGATTGGAAATGGAGCAGCTGGAACATGAGCCAGTACTCATATGGAATGCTGGCATCACAGGAGGTGCTTTATTCACCACACAACACTGACCCCCTGTAAATGGAATTTTTGAGTCATAGGAATACATATATTTAAGGATTTCTAAACCAAGAAGAGCATTAGAAATACTCTACCAGTCTCACCTTTCACCCCCCAGTAATCCCTGCCTCCTGGTATTCATACCCTTTTGTAGGTGCCTCCCACATTATACCAAGGTTGATCTACATGACCCAAAGAATTTGGTGGAAGTTGATACCATTACTGAAATTGTAAACAAAATAAAACAAAAACCACTGTAAATTCCATCTTGCTCTCTTTTAGTCTCCTGGTTCACCAGCTCACAGGAGGAATCAGAATCACGAACACCACCACAAATGTGTACAGAAGCAGATTTTCCGGTCCTAGTCAAGCCTTGGATGAATGTAACTCAATTGACACCTTGACCACACTCCTTTGAGAAACTCTGAGTTGGAAATACCCAGTTAAGCAATTCCAAACTCCTGGCCCACAGAAACTGTAAAATATCAAATGTTCACAGTTTTAAATTACTATGTTCTGGAGGTAATTTGCTACATTGTAACAACAAACTAATGTCAACATAGAATGAATGCTAGTTTAGTTTGTTTTCTCACATCTTTATCAACATTGGACATTTCCAGGTTTTATATCTTGCTAATAAGGAGAAAAAAACTACCACACTGTTTACAGTTGTTTTATCTCTGGTGAGGCTGAACTTCTGATATTTCTCCCTTAACTTTGCTTCTGTCACATATTTCTTGTTACATCCTTTGTCCCTTTTCTATTGAAATTTTTTGCCTCTTTCTATTGCTGTGCCAGCCTCCTTAGATACTGGTAATATGACCCAATTCTCAGATGTTCATATTCCGGCTATTTTCCCCACTTGTGGTAGTTGCTTCTTTATTTAGTTTCAATAATTTTAGATTTATTAGCTCTTAAATTTTATACACTGAAATCTTTTCCTATAGGATTTTTTTGTTTGCTTGTTTGTAAAATGTCAACCATCACTACACTGAGTTAGATATTGTAATTCATGATTTTTTTCTATCTTATAGTTCTATATTGAAGTATAACTCTCTATCAGAAATTATTGAACAGTATGGATGAATGTAATTTCATCACTTTTTGCAATTGAACAGAGAAATAGTTCATGTTAAAAAAATCAGAAATTATCAAAGTAAAATAATATAACAAAAAAACACTAAATGTATTAAAGATGATTAATTACTCTTATCAATATTAGCTTCAAATTATGGATTAGCTATTATTGACCAGAATCTGTGCCAAATAGTCAAAATGAAAATGTTAACATACCCATTTTACATAAAATATAAAGCATAGAAAAGTTAAGTAACTTGCATAAGAACACACAGCTAATAGGCATGGGAGTCTATAACAGTTACTATTATCCTAATGCAGTAAATCTGTCTTTTTCAAAAGTAAGTGGCATGATACAGTTGCAACTAATTGTGAAATTATCCTCTATTTTATCCTTAACAGGATGGAAATAGTTTTGGGCATAAGTAAATATAGAACAATTCAAGATTTCTAAAGCAGTAAAACAACAAAATGTGTCATTTATTAACAATTTTTCTCCATGAATCTAGAATAACACCAGTGAAAATATCAATGATCACATTTAGGAATGAAGATATAAGTTTCCTAAAATAATTTGTGTTTGAAATGTAAAAGTCCACATTTTCTACTTAGCAGTAGTGCTGCTGGAATAATTAGAAAATTATGTACTAACAGAAAAAGAGAGGTAAAAATAAAGACTAAATAGAAAGGGATATTTGGGTTACTAAGTTTTGGGAGGCACAATTAAATCTTGATTCTACTCTACTCTTCTATAAATATATCTATTGGTGATAAAAGTGAAACTTTTAGAATGAGGAATTATGTTCCTGGGTAACATAAGTGAATTCTGCACAGGCATATCTCAGAACCAAGTCATTATGTCAAAACACAGTTTACACAGCTGAAGAGAGTTTTTTGGTACAGTCTCAAAATTCTACTTAATCTTTATCAGCATATGCAAATTTGCATATTTCATTCTTTCTGTGACTCTTAAGCTATCTACCTAGAGCCTCACTCTGGATTATATTTATGACAGAAAATCATAGTAATGAAATGAGGGCAATTCTCAGAGTGAAATTAAATAAAAGTAATTTTTAAATACTTTAATGTTTGATGACTGTATCAAAGCTTCTGCTTATGAGTAGATAGCAATTTTTCATCCTGGATGTCAAAAAATAACTACTCAAGCGTGTGCTCTTATGCCAGTTACTTTTAAAGATTGATTTGTTTATTGGAAAGGCAGAGTTACACAAAGAAAAGCTGAGATGCTCCACATGTCTGCAACATTCAGGACTGAGCCACACAAAAGCAAGAGCTTCATCCAGGTCTCCCACCAGGTGGACGGCCTGCATGATTGGACCATCTTCCTCTGCTTTTCCCAAGCCACTAACACGGGAGCTGGATAAAAAATGGAGCAGCCAAGATACAAACCATACCCATATGGGTGCCAGCATCATAAACAGTGGCTTAACATGCTCCACCACAACGCAGATCCCTTCTTATGATAAATGCTTACATTTGAATTACATCAGACTCTTGAACTTCCTAAAAAATATTCAGGATATCATATAACAGCAAATAGAACAGCAAAACTCTTCCATTAAAGTAGAGTAATAAACGTACCCGATTTTTTAAAGTCCAATAATGAGTTAGAAGCTACATAGCAATTAAACAGGAAATTTTTGATAAAAATAATTAGTAAAATGATTTGAATATTAGAAGACTGCAGTAGCTAATAAGATTTGAAGAAAAATGAATAGTAGCTCTAGGGAGCACCCACTACTCTCAGGCCTGGGAAACAACACTCAAGGGATCAGCCTTGATCTAAGGCCATTAACTAGTTCACAGTAGCAAGGTCAAAACCATGGATCATTAGATGTCAGGGAAATCACTGACAGGCCACAATACTGGGACTTACAATAAATCTGCCTTTGTAGTGCCAGGGAGAGTTCACATCAACCCTACCTGGTGATACTTCACTGAAAAAAAACCACCTGATGTCTGAATGTGTCCCACTGAAACTCATATGTTGAAATATAATTGCCAGTGTGGCAATATGAAGGTGATGCCTATAACAGGATATTGACATTCACAAGGATGGCAGCAGCCTTCTGCAAAAGTGCCCAAGGCAGGTTTCCTGCAGTAAAGGATAGGTTTGCCGCTAAGAGGCAATACACTCATAACTGGTACATTACATGTAACAGCTTGCATTATGTCTCAAAAGAGTATGCAACCCTTTCCTTGTTACTTGTCAATATGATCTTACTTGTGAATATGAGTCTTTGCAGATGTGATCAATTCATTATAAGGTAATAAAAAGGGATTCTAATCCAATATTATTGATGTCCTTATAAAGACAGGCACAAGTGACAAAGACACATGCAGAAAAGAGAAAACTGCGTGAAAAGGTAGGCTCAGAAAGGGAAACAGCCATGTGGGGACAAAGGCAGCAGCTAGTCCCAGGGATTGCCTGGGAATTCCAGAATATGGAACAAGCAGGGAAAAATGCTCCAGAGATTTGGATGGAGCCCAGTGTGGCCAGCATTTTTGTTAAAAACTTTGAGCTTCTAGAACTCTGGGAAACTAACTTGCTGTTGTTTTAAGCTGCCCAATTAATGGCCTGTGTTATGATAATCTTGGGAAACTAATATGTCATGAAGTTCCAATCCTCTGGATAACTTATTTTTCAGGCATATTGGTTTTGAAGGAAAAACAGTATCAAATCATTAAGAATAAAATTAGTGGCTCATAAAGCTCTTGCCTTAGGAAAAAAAGATGCAGCCATCAGTTCCAAATACCCTCTTCTGAGATTCATCTCCTTTACTCCACACAGAAATAGTTGTTAACATTTGAAATAATCATTTTCCTTATAGCCTGCCCACTCTACCTAGGATTCTGCCACCATCTTCACAACTATCTCAAAGCAGCAGCTTCCATTAAGACAATTGGTCTGCTACCCAGTGTGAGGTGTGTGTGTGTGTGTGTGTGTGTGTGAGGTGTGTGTGTGTGAGGTGTGTGTGTGTGGATGTGTGTGAGGTGTGTGTGTGTGAGGTGTGTGTGTGTGTGAGGTGTGTGTGTGTGAGGTGTGTGTGTGTGAGGTGTGTGTGTGTGTGTGTGAGGTGTGTGTGTGTGTGTGTGAGGTGTGCGTGTGAGGTGTGTGTGTGAGGTGTGTGTGTGAGGGGTGTGTGTGTGTGTGTGTGTGAGGTGTGTGTGAGGTGTGTGTGTGTATGGATGTATGAGGTTTGTGTGAGGCGTGTGTGTGTGTGAGGTGTGTGTGTGTGAGGCGTGTGTGTGGGTGGGTGGATGTGTGTGAGGTGTGTGTGTGTGTATGTGTGTGAGGTGTGTGTGTGAGTGAGGTGTGTGTGTGTGAGGTGTGTGTGTGTGAGGTGTGTGTGTGTGCGGTGTGTGTGTGCAAGGTGTGTGTGTGTGTGCGAGGTGTGTGTGTGTGTGTGTGAGTGCGAAGTGTGTGTGTGTGAGGTGTGTGTGTGTGTGTGTGTGTGTCCATAGAAATAGTGACAGTGTAATAAGGTAGGTATTTGGTACAGCGATTGAGAAGCTGTTAGAGCTGCCTGCACCCATATCGGAACGCTTGGCTTGGAGCCCAGGATGCACACTCAGTTTAAACTTTCTGCTAGCATACACTGCGGAAAGCATCGTATCTTGCTTATTTATCTTTTGATTTTATCTAATGTTGACAAAAATAAGTCATATTGAATTTTGTAATTCATAACTAGGAAGCTGTCACTAAGTGCTCCTGGCTACATGGACAGTAGTGTGTGCTTAGATCTAGGATACACAGGCATTTGAGAAGCTGCCTCATCCATAAAATAAGAAAGGAACATTTGTCCAACATGCAAAGAAAAGTTCACCACAGACATACAATATAAAATCATGATTAGAATGTGACAGACTGAGTCAGATTCCCAGATACATGTGTTCAGACTCTACCTCTTTAACAACAAAAATTCTGAGCCTCATACTATCTAACTGCTTTAAATCACATTGTCATATTAATCCTCACAGCTGTCTAAGATGATCTATTTTTTTAATTTTTGTTTTATTTGAAAGGCCGATCTATAGAGAGAGCGAGAGACAAGCAGAAATCTTCCATCTGCTCAGTCTCCAAATGGCTACAATGGCCAGCACTGAACTGATCTGAAGCCAGGAGTCAGGAACTTCTTGTGGGTCTCTCACATGATTGCAGGGGCTCAAGGACTTGAGTCATCTTCCATTGCTTTCCTATGCCCTAAGCAGGAAGCTGGATGGAAAGTTGAGAAGCTGGGACTAGAACCAGTACTGTTATCATCTTCACATATGAGGAAACTGAGGTTGAGAGGAGTCAATCATTTGTTCAGTTCATACCTACTAAAAAGGATAGGAATGCAAACCCGAGAAGTCAGACATTATAACCAGAAAAGCAGACCCTCAGCCACAACACTGCATTATCTGTTGGTTAAAATCTATTTTAGCAGTTGCCAGTGAGTGTCAGGTGTTACAGTGTATACTTGAGTGGATAAATGGGATATAATTAAAATCAACCCAGGAGAAAAGGAAAGGGCAGTATTTCGACATCATGCAGACTTTCCAGGGCTGGTTGGGTCCTAAGAAGGAGAAGACAAACCCAACACCAGTCTCAGTTTGATGCGGGACTATACTTGAAGTGGACAACAGATTTCTAGAGCAGAATTAATGCTGCGAACTGAAGATATACCAAGTATTACCTTCAGTGACCATGAGAATGCCAAGCCATAAAGCACCACAGCTGCATCAATACTTACCAGGCCTGTCAGAATAAAGAGAAAAATCATTCAGTTGTAACTAATCCAGAAGTAATAGAGATTATATACAATATTTCTAGACAGGTTATTAAAATGCTTGTTTCAACTATACTCTTTATTTTCAGAGAGATAGATGAAAGATCGAGCATGTAAAGACACAACACTTATAAAAAGATTAAAAATAAATTCTGGGGCATTAAAACTGAGATGAACAACACGGGGGCAGGCCTTAGAGTGCAGCTGGTCTGGCTGTAGCTTGGAACGTCTGCTTCCCAGATCAGGGGACCTGGAACAGCTTCCTAGTATTGTACCTGGAAGGCAGAGGAACATGGCTCAAACGCTTGAAATCTCTGCCTTCTACGTAAGTGGAGTTCTGGGTTTCTGACTTTATCCTGACAACATCGAGCTACTGTGGGTACGTGGGGTGTAAACAAACAGAAGAACTCTAGATCTTTCTGTTTCTTTCTGCGTCTGAAATAAATTTAAAAATTTAAAACTTTTCAAAAATACAGGAAAACAACACTACACACACACACACACACACACACACACACACACACATCTTTACTGATCATGACTAATGGCAGATTAGGTAATGTTGAAAATAATTTTAGTGAATTTGACAAGATATCAATAGGAACTACTTACAAAAAAAGTCAAAGAGAAAAATACGGGAAAATATTTTTAAAAATCAATGAGATGGAAGAAAACATACAGCTGAATTTCTCAATCTTTAGAATCTGAAGAGACGAAGCAGGAAACATCCTGGAAGAAAAGTTTTGCAAGGGAACCCACAGATTCAGGAAGGAAGCCAAGAAATTCCAGGCTCAAAAAAATGGAAAAAAAATGAGATCAAGGCACATGATGCTACAATAGCTTAAAATCGGTGATGAAGGAAAAAACTTAAAGGCAGAGAGAAAAGAGACATTATTCATGAATATAAGAAAAATGAAATAAGGCCAACAGAAAATCTGTTGGCAGAAGTTCAAATAAGGAAACAACTTTTTTTTCTAAATAAAGATTTATGTATTTGTATTTGTAAAGCAGATTTTTAAAGAGAGGGAGAAACAAAGAGATCTTCCATGTGTTGATTCAGTATCCTATATGATGGCAATGGCCAAAGCTGAGCTGGTTCAAAGCTGGGAGCCAGGAGCTTCTTCTGGTTCTTGCATGTGTTTGCAGGGACCTAAGAACGTGGGCCATCTTCCACTGCTTTCCCAGGTCGTAAGCAAAGAGCTGAATCAGCAAGTGGAGCAGCTGAAGGATTCAAACCACTGCCAATATGAGTCTCTGGCTCAGCACGGTAGAGGATATGCTCGTTGTGCCACCAAAACAGCTCAAAGAAAACACCTTTTAAACATCAAAAGGGGCAGAGGTATTGTGGTGCATCAGGTTAAAATGCTACTTGGCATGCCTGCATTCAATATCAGAGTGCCATTTTGAATTCTATTTCATTTCCTATCCAGCATCCTGTGCATGTGCCTAGGCATGCAGCAATTCATGGCTCAAGAACTGTTACACATGTAGAAGATCCAGATGGATTTCCCAGCTCTTGGCTTCAGACTAATCCTGTCTTGGCTGCTGCAGGCCTACAGGCATTTTGAGAATATACTAATAAGTGGAAGATTCCTGCTCTCTCTTTCTGCATCTCCCCCTGCCCTTCAAATAAATAAGCTAATAAGTGTTTTAACAAACTAAAAAGTGAAAATAATCCATTAACGCAGAATCTTTTCCCAAGGAAAACTCCGCACAAATTAAAGCAAAATAAATATTTCAGATTAGGCTGAAAGAATTGGACACATGCAACCTATGCCATAAGCGCTGTTAATGGGAATCCTTCAAGCAGAATATGACAGCAGATGAAATATAGAGAGCTTTTGAGATGGCAACTACATGGAATAACAAAACTAACTGATACTTATGCCCCTTTAAAATATAATTTAAAACAAAAAATAGTAACACTGGAGATAATGTGGAACAATAAAATGTGTGATTGAAGTAACATAAATAACAATAGGAAATGGAAAAAAGAATCATATACTGTTTGTCAAATGATATCAATTTAAAGTAGACTGATAGATTGAAGGTCTATAGACACCGAAATATGAATCATAACTATTATGTAACCATTACATAACAAAGTTATGACTAGCAAGCCAAAAGGTAGATAAAATAGATTATGCTAAGTTAAAATTTTATAACCACCAAAATAGTTACTTAAATAACAAAAGAGCTAAAACTTGCAAGCCAAAAACTGGACAAAATTCTTTAAAAAATAATCTGAAAAAAAAGAGTAAAAAGGGGGAAAAGATCACAAACAGAAAATAAATAACATGTTGGTAGATTTGAATGCATTTGTAGGAGTAACTGCATCACATACAAATATATAAACACCCTATATGGAAAGCAAACATTAACTTAAAAAGACTAGATTGTATAAAGAGTTAAAAAAAAAATCTATCCACCTGCTACCCATGAGAAAACAAATTTAGGTATAAAGACACAAATGAATGCTGGAGGATGGGATGGCCTGATGTGTGAGATGCTGGTGTCACAAGTCAGAACATCTGGGTTTGAGTCCCAGCTCTGGCTCCAGCTCCTGATCCCGCACCCTGCTCTCGTACCTGAGAAAGCAGTGGAGGATGCCCAGGTCCTCGGGCCCTGCACCCATGTGACAGACATGACTGAAGTTCCTGACTGCAGTCTGGCCCAGACCTGGTTGTTGCAGCCATTTGGAGAGCAAGCCAGCAGATTAACGCTCTTTTTCTCACTCTTCCTTCTCTTTTGTCGCTATAACTTTGACTTCCAAATAAATAAATAACCCTTTAAACAAAATATACCGTATGTAGTTCGTAACCCTAAAATTTCCATTTAAAAAAACATTTTTATCTGGAAAACTGATGAACAGACAGAAGATTCAAGACAGGATAAGTGAAAGGGAGAGAGAAGATTAAATAATCCTTTGCATTAATGTAACTTGCTTTTATTGGGAAACAAAGTCTACTACACAGGTTAGAGGTAAGATAGCAGAAAATTCTCACTAACCTCAAAGTGATACTCTTCTTTCCAGAAGTCAGTGTGGATCAAGATATTTAGAGCTTCTCTCTCTTCTAGATACTTACATTCTCTTTTTTCCCCAATTTACAAAATTATTTATTAACTCATAATTAACAACTCCATATTTGCACAATATTTTTATATTTATATAATGAGACATGTTCCACTTTTGAATGTTATAAAAGTTTCTTTGTTGAATAAATCTGTTAGAAATTTCATCTTAATTTTTTAGGAGGAAGCTTGAGCCTGTAACTTGAGTACCTGACTGCCAGAATAGACAACTGTAGACAGTATGTGGCAATGCAGCTGAGACTCGCCACTTCTACATCAAGGAGCCTGGGAAGACAGCCCACAGCCACTTCAGCAGCTGGACTGATACTCCACGGTAACACAGAACAAAAAAACTGGAATAGGGAGAGGAGGTAGACTAGAAAATTCCATCTAACAACATTGGAATTATCCTGAAATCAGAGACTGTCTTAGAAAACAAAAGTTAGAATGGGTAATGATCTGTTACAGAAAGCAGAACACTGAGAAAAATCTGTAGAATAATAAAAGGAGGCTTCAAAAACAATTGAGTTCTACATATTAAAAAAAAAAAAGTTAGATGGTCTCCTATTTTCCTGAGTAGCAAAAGTACCTGCATGATTTAAATTTTTGTGATAATCTTATTTCTCCATAAACAACAGAAAATATTCATGTGATAGCAAGTTTTGGAGTTTCTTCTTTTTCTTCCTAAGTAGCATAACATGATTTTAACAAAAGCTATGAATCAAGACATAGCCTTTTATATGTTAAAAATAATAGAACTAGCACTTAAAGTAGCAACCTGACAACTCACAAAGAAAATTGTAAACATATCATGCCTTATTAGTTCAGCTATGTCTTATTTGCTGTCAATCAACTTATTCCATGCAGCAAGTGTTCACACATATTTTTCCTTTTTATATTTTTTTCTGTTACGTGACTCTGACCATCTGTGAGGGAAAATCAAACCAGCAATGCCATTACCAAGTGGCCTGCACCATTTCCAAAATAGTTTAAAATGCTTCTTTTCAAAAAAATACTTTGGTTTCTTACAAATAAACCAAATGAATCAATTGGTTTTCAAGCCACCATTTAATATTGATATTGTTTCTTTCTTAACGAACGGCTATGCAGGAGCTGACTTCCAGTGTCAAAGAAAAAAATACCCATGCTGAGTGGTTGTCGTCTACGGCCACACCGCCCTGAACGCGCCTGATCTCGAAAAATATCCATGCAGAGGCCAGATTATGGAGAATAAAAATTGCAAGTGCACCAATTTTGTTGCCCTGTGCAGTTTTAAAATTTTTTTAATTAGTTATGAATATTCAGAAATAGATGAAAGGGGAGAGAAAGGGAGGAATCCCTATACCTACAAAACTGTAAAATGAAAAATAATAAAAATAAATTTTAAAGGAAATAGATGGCATAAAAATTGTATAATGATAGCTTTTCTTAAAAAAAAAAAAAAGAAAAATAGGACAGGCAGCACTAAGGCATAAATTCTGTCACAATGCACTCAGCCAGGAACTGAGTGATGACTGCTCTGGCTGAGACACATGTTCTCCAGTTCATTATATTCACTGCCAACCCTCCCATCAGTCCTCACACTAGCCCTACCCCACTTCCTGCTTTTCTATTTCTTGTCTGGCCTGCAAAGACATTTCTTAATTTATACTTCTACATGCAGAATATGTGCTTCTCACCTCTCTTTAGGCAGTACATTTCCTCAATCAGAATCAATTGAGTAAAACTCAGGACTGAGTTTTCTTTCTTAAAATGATCCAGACTGAGTATTTCAGTGGTGGCCAAGATGCCAGTTAGGACTGCTACATCCCGTAAAGGAATGCATGAATTCAATGTCTTTCGCTCAAGCCTCTTCCCATGCAGAGGCTGGGAGGCCTCAGTGATGGCCGAAGTCATTGGATGCTTGCCAATCACATGGGAGATCTGGATTTGGTTCCTGGTTCCTGGCTTCAGCCTGCACAATTCCTGAACATTGGGAGCATTGGGGATTGAACCAGTAGAGTGTATGCTCTCTTTCAATCTCCATCCAAATCTAAAATAGATATTTTTTTTAAAGATCCATAAAAGAAATTTCAGAATCACAGAATCCTGCCAAATATGTTTTTCTGTTGTTTTGCTTTTGCTGGAAATAAAGTGATAATTAACATTTGCCAGATAAAGCTAAACCATATTCTCCTTAAAGGACACCTTTAAATATAGGCAGCAAGTGCCGTTCCGTATCAGCAGCAGGTGAAAGCAGTATTCACACATTAGCTAATAACATCAAAACATCAACTTCAAACAGAAGTAAATTCACAGATACGGATTTTTGAATGAAAATCAACTCTATTCTTATTACGTTAATAATCACAGGCCTGGCCTTGTGGAACATTGGGTTGAGCCACTTCCTGAAAAGACAGTGTCCCATGTTGGCTCATTTCCTGAGTGCTCTGTTTCCAATCCTCCCATATACTAACACACCTGGAAGGGCGGTAGGTGATTGCCAATGCACTTGAACTTCTGCCACCACACTCGAGTGGGAGTGAATAAGCAAATGGAATATCCTTCTCAAAGTTTTTCACTCTCTAATTATGCTTGTGAAAACCTGATACTAATTCAGAAAGCCCCAACTGCAATTCATACAATTCATCCCCAGGCAAAACTATTATCCAAGTGAAAGATAAGATCAGCTTTATAATTAATATCAGTATATTAGTTGCCAATTTTATATCACTTACACTTTGAAACTCTGTGTTAGCATTTCATATATAAATATGATCACAACAACTTATACAACATGAGGAACTGGTTGTTATCCATAAAGTTGCACTGGATTATAGACCATACACAAGAAAATGACAATTTGATGACATCTCAACATATTTCCATCAACACATTACAGCAATCCTCTTTCTCATCTGTAAGGAGCATAATTTTAGCTTTGATACTGACAGTCTTAAACTCCAGCAATTTTGTTTTATAACTTCTACAAGTAAGAGTTGAAATATGAATTCTCTCAGTATCTCAGAAGAATGTGTTGTAGTATCAAATTATTTAGTGATTTCTTTTCAAAGATTATTTAGTTGCCAGGCAGGGCTTCAGAGAGCGGGAAAGACAGAGAGAACTCTTCCATCTGCTTGTTCACTCCTCAAATGGTTGCAATTGCGGAGGCTGGGCCAGGGTAGAACCAGGAGCCAGCAGGTTCATCAAGGTCTCCCAGGTGGATGGCTCAGGGCCAAGCAACTGGACCATCTTGTGTTGCTCTCCCAGGCACAATAGCAGGGAGCTGGATTGGCAGTAGAAAAGCCTGGACTCAAACTGGCACCCACATAGAGTGTTGGCATCAGAGGTGACACCCTGCTATGCCATGATGCCAGTCCTTGAATATTATTTTAACACAACTGTATGAAAACATTGATGAGTAAATTGATCAGTGATAAATCAGACTGTTTCAAGTTGTAATCAATGAGACTAAAATACTTAATTCCATTTTCCATCTCCAAGTTACCCCAAATAAATTATATGATATACTTCCAAACTAACTGAAAAGGTACTGAGCTAAAAGTCAGACACTCTGTTTTGGTGCTTTTTTCAGTTACTACCTACCATTTTGGCTTTAACCAGCTCAGTGTACCTCCCTGTAGCCAATATTTTTAAAACATTGATTCATTTGTTCATTTATCCATCCATCCATCCACCTATTCACTCCTATAGAGCAACACAGAGGGAGGGAGACAAAGAGATGATTCACTCCAAAATACCTATCGCCACTCGGAGCCAGCCAGGTCAAAATCAGGAGGCACAAGTTGCATCTGAGCCTTCCATTTGGGTAGTAGGGATCCAAGCATTCAGGGCACCACATGTTTCCTCCTAGGATGCACGAGCAGGAAGTGGCTTTTGAAGTAACACAGCTGGACAAGACCCTGCTCTCCGTGATGGGATGCAGGCACCGGAAGTGGGACAGAAATGCACAGTGCTGCAATGCCTGTCTCTGTTTCACAATATCAAATATCTGCTCCTTCCTTTTCTTAGTGCTCTGATCACTGTAGTTCATTGTTTCCCAAAGTGATGTCTGCAAATGCACGCATTCACATTGATTTCTGTTCATATAATTGCAATCATTTTCAAAACGTGTTCATGCAGAACTCTGGTGTGAGGGGGTTGGGGAGATGTTCAGAATGAAACCCTAACTAAAAGGGTCTAAGGATCCATATTGTTTTCAAACACTCATTTCAACATTCCCAGTATTGCTTTGCATTCCTTTACGGAAAGTGGATGCAGGAAAAACACTAATATTCATTGAGCCAGTTTGGACTGCCTTTCCCTGCTCTCTGAGACTGGAGAAACACTTTGTTTTAAGAAAGCACAGTACCTGATACTTCTTATGGTCAACCTTTGATGCTTCTGTCAAAACTCAGAGGCAGCTGGAAAACTAATATTTAACATCCTGTTACACTTAATTTAATTCCTTTGCCCTACTTTTTAAAGGTTTTTAATATTAATGAATACAGGACTTGTTAATGTATACATGATTAGCTTTATCACATTTTTGATTTGTTGCTCTAAGACTAATTTCAGAAAAAAAAAAAAAAGATGTTCATTTTAGAAGTAGATGCCAGGTGCCCAGCACAGTAGCTTAGTAGCTAAAGTCCTCGCCTTGCCCACACCGGGATCCTGTGTGGGGCCGGTTCATGTCCCATTGGCTCTGCTTTCCATCTAGCTCCCTGCTTGTGGCCTGGGAAAACAGTTGAGGACAGCCCAAGACATTGGGACCCTGCACCCGCGTGGGAGACCCAGAAGAGGATCCTGGCTTCTGGCTTCAGATCAACACATCTCCAGCCATTGCAGCCACTTGATAGGTGAATCAGCAGACAGAAGATCTTCCTCTCTCTCTTCTCCTCTCTGTGTATCTGACTTCCCAATAAAAAGAAAGAAGTAGGTGCCCAAAGTTCCTAATTTACCATGATATCTTTTTCTAAATTGCCCTCTTCATCCTTATATTTAATCAAGTTTTACTATTTCTCTTAGATCTAGGGAGGAGGCAAAAATTTCTATAGTATTATTATACATTACTTTTGTTCTCCAAAGCCTTTAAATGTCCTGTTTAGGCAATTAATTGTTTATTTTCATTTCATTTGCAAAACAGAAAGAGAGAAGTAGGGAGAGATCTTCCATTCACCAGATGGATTCCCCAATGCCAACAACAGCCAGACCCAAGCAAGCCAAAGGCACCAGGAATTCAGCCCAGGATTCCCTTGAGTTGAGTCATCAAGAAAGAGAAACTTTACAAGAAATAACATTTCCACATAATTAAAAATAAATTTTATTTTCTTCCTTATTGCTCATTTTTTCAATCCCCTTCCCCTTTTTTTTTAACTTGTTACTGCATCTTCTGAATTCAGGAAAGGAAAAAAAAGAGAACACAGCTCCACGCAAGATTGTAAGTTCTGATTTCCATTGTTTTCACTGTTCAATGTTTCGTATTCAAATGATGGAAAGAGTTGGGAATACAGGTAAATACTTAAGTTTTCTAATGATAAGTAAGCAGATAGAAGGAAATACTGTTTGGCCAACAGGGTAAAGCAGTAACTGGTCTTTTGAGATAGGCACATGTTGAAGGTCAGCATACTACTATATAAAACATTTTAAAACACTGGACCCAGTGCAATAGTCTAGTGGTTAAATCCTCACCTTGCATGCACTGGATCCCACGTGGGTGCTGGTTCATATCCTGGCTGTTCCACTTCCCATCCAGCTCCCTGCTTGTGGCCTGGTAAAGCAGTAAAGAATGGACCAAAGTCTTGGGAGCTTGTACCCATACAGGGGACCCAGACAAAGCTCCTGGTTCCTGGCTTCAGATCAGATCAGCTTCGGCCACTGCAGCCACTTGGGGAGTGAACCAGTGGATGAAAGATCTTTCTCTCTGTAAATCTGCCTTTCCAATAAAAATAAACAAATAAATCTTTAAAAATAAATATTTTTAAAGCATGTCAAAATTAACTGGCCTGCATTTTCAAGGTTAATATATATTTATACAGTATTTTATTATATGATAATAAAATAATATATAATATTATAATATTTGTATAATAGATACAATTTTGAACTCTAAATAAACATTTTGGGGCCCAGTGTTTTAACACAGCAGGTTAAATCACCATTTATGAGGCCAGTTCTGGGTCCCCGAAGCTCTGCTTGCAACCTAGCTCCCTTCTAACGTGCCTAGCATCACAGCAGATCACGGCCTAAGTACCTTGGTAGCTGCCGATCATGTGGGATACATTTAATTTCCTGCTTCTAGTTGTGGCCTGGTGCAGCATTTGGGGGTGACCCAGTAGACAGAAGATCTGTCTTTGTTACTCAGCCTTTCAAATAAATATAGCTTTAAAAATAAAGAAGAGCTTATTTAAAAGTAAATTTTCTCTCTAAGCTAAAAAGCAGCACCTGAATGACAGCTTAGAATTCTTGAAACTACCCTGGATGTACCACTGTGAGCTAAACAGCTCATAAGCATCACCTTTTCTGTAGGATTAATTTATATACTTCCAGTGAAGTTCCCTCAGCAGCCTTGACTTTGATCACATGACCAATAGCAAGGCAGCCCTGAGTTATCACTTGGCTCAGGATCACCTCAGCCTTCCAATGAACGGGGGGGGGGGGGGGGGGGAGGTCTAAATAAGTTAAAAGAACCAGAAAATTCAACAATGTGTCACAAATAGTGAGGTCATTATGCCTGGCTAACCCCGGATATTAACAGTTACTGAAAGTGAAACACTACCCACAACTTAGCAGTCGGTGAGCCCTGCTCAGAATCAGTGATCTTCTGTCCAACAAGCGTGGCATTTTACAGTTCAGTGCAAAAGAAAACGGACCTTGATATCTTCATTTGTCCTTTTTTTTCTGTGCATATTTCACAGTGCAGTGAGTTGGGGTCCATCACGTGTCACTGGCCAGAGTTCTAACTACTAGCTTCCTTGAAATATGTATGCACGGGGAAAAAAAAAGTTCAGTGAACTGAAAAGATTGAAACAAATCCTTAACCTTTGTATCAATTTAAAGTTTCACTCTGGGTCTAAATACTGTGGGTTTAAACATTTTAAGGTGGTTTATGCACTGCATTTATTTCAAATGTTAGGATTCTCTGTCAAAGTAATTAATTGGGAATATTGTTTGAATAACATTTAACTGTTTTCTCACTTGGTGATGAGAACAATCTGCTAATTAAGTGACAGCCCCTGAGAAATTCAGCCCTGAATCTATTGAAGATTTAGGGCATGCAAATTTCTCTGTAAAAGACTTTATCTTTACATGAACAAGTTCAATCTGGAAGGCTTTTCAAAATTATTTTCATTTTAACATGCAACTTCTGTTTCTCATGTTTTAATTGTATGGATAAAACATACCAGGACATGTGAAAGCATTTCTAAAATTTGTCTTTTTAATAAGCACTTTGATTCTAATAAGTATATGAATATACTTGTCATACAGAATAAGAATTACTTAGGGTGAACACAAGTGGCAACCATTGATTAAGCGCTGTGTACCAAATACAACGTTTGCACTTCACACAAGCCTTATTTTATCCTAATAGCAACCGTGCACGGCAGATATGACTAAGCACATGTTATAGTGGTCTAGTGTAGGTAAGGAACTTTGTTAAAGTCACATAAAAGGTTCCAATTCCAATCTAACTCCAACACTATAATCTTAGTAAGGAAGTCTTAGATAAGCATGGGTGGTTTTAAGTTGGAGGTGGAGCTTCTGTACCAACTGGTCCAACTCTTTTCAGAAGAAAACCTGCTATGTGTGACTTACCAAGTGCCACACCGTGCTAAGAGAAATGTTCCCATCAGACCCAGCTTGGCCAAACACAGAGCAGTGCTGTGAATTTTATAGTGAAAAGGCTTAAGTTTTGAAAGCAGACCAACCAAGACTTCTTCCTCTGCTATTTGCTAGCCTCAAGTTCTTGAGCTGTGAAATATGAAAAATAAAATAACATGTGTATTAAGTGTCTTATGAGGATGCTCATACAACAGGCAGTAGTATGCCATTAAATCAGATACAGAGCACAATGTGTATAGGACTAGGAGAAATAGAGTCTCCAGGTTGGAAACAGATTTCAGCTTTATCTAACCTCATTCTAATTTGTTACAAGAAGCAAATAGTATCTTTTAGTACCTCCATATCTTAATTATTTTATATGTTTATTCTCAACTCTCAGAGAATCAAAGAACAATAGGAGAAGGCAATCCAGAACATATGAAGACAATAGTTTTCATCTGTCCTCCTCAAAGTTGGTAGAAGACCAAGTTTGACCAAGTGAGTCCACCCATCAGAGGCAGAATCATCTACCATGTAGTGGCAAAGGGTAGTATATGAAGAATGTTCAGTAGTCTAATGCAGACAGAAATACGGAATTAAAAAATATAATTTTTAGTGAGCAGAAAATCATATCCAACAGCATTATGTTTTAAAACTTAAATATTTCCAGTACAGAGGTATAAAATGTTAGGTTATGTTCATATTTTACACTCAGTCATATTTTTTAAAACTTCATCTTTGCCAAGGTAAGTTCTATTAGCGTAAATATACAGAGTTAGGAATTAATCGGCATGTCTAGAACTGAACTGAATGCTCACTTTTGGATCTGCAGCAGGCTTCTGGGATGGATGATACCAAGAGCAATGAAAGCATTCCATAGCAACGAACCGCAACTGATAACTGCCCAAGCTTTCATTTATATACTCCTGTGCACAAGGACACCAGGGGTTGGGAACAACAGAGAGTCAACCCACATGATCAGCCACACGCTGGCTGCAGGCCACTGCGTGGACAGCACTATTTGACCCCTGTTGCTCACTTGGCTACTTGAGCCACTCCACTTTCCAATGGGAAAAAAGAAGTGTGGAAGAAAGACATTAGGATCCACCTATATGAGAAGAATATACATTTTAACTCAGTTAAATTATGTGTGTCAACTGAGGCTTCTTTTCAAAAAGTCATATTCAATCCCCTTTAATTTAATTCAGTCAATATTTGTTGAGCACCAGCTCTGATAATGGCATATTTAAAAATATTTTTCCTGCCCAAAATATATACAGAGAAGAGCCCATAACCCACTGCTAACACTCAGACACACACTAGTTTATGTTGAGCTCCATGTGACTTATTATAAATGGTATTATAGGCATGAAACCAAAAGAGAATGAATAATTTCTTCTAAAGCAATGAAAATGTGGAGCAACTTGATAGAGCTAACATGTTAACTGGAGATTATGAATGGAGATTATGTGACAGAAATGATAAAAACTAGAAAGTATTCCAAGAAAATGCAAGTACACCAAAGTGTACTGTGATTTATTGCTGGGCTTGAAAGCTAAATATGACCAAGCTGCAGACAGTGCCAAGCGTAAAGCTGGAGAATTAGGTAGACAGTCGGAGTCAGCAAAACCTTTCAAGCTGGAGGAACTAGGACACAACAGATTCCAGTGAGGCTAATCTGACAATAGTAGATAGACATAATGGAATACAGAATGGAGACATCAAAGACAGGGAAAATGCCTGGAGTCCACACAATCTTGTAAGAATAAACAGTAGAGTCAGTTGTGGGGATGGACAGAGGGAATTAATGGGGAAAATGTTGTATCCATGTATCTCATTTTCATGATCAGATTACATATGCCAAAAATATTGTGCATCTTGTATCATATCTCAGACTTATTTACATTCACATCATCTATAGGAATCCTACTATATCACACTAAACAAACTTACTTTTTCAAATAAATTTCCACCTTTTTAAACATTTCTTCAATTCCTTTTTTTTAAGATCTATTTTTTTTTATTGGAAAGTCAGATATACAGAGAAAAGGAGAGACTGAGAGAAAGATCTTCCATCCTTTGATTCAATCCACAAGAGGCCAGAGCTAAGCTAATCTGAAGCCAGGAGCCTGGAGACTCTTTCGGGTCTCTTACCAGGATTAGAACCGGCGCCCATATGGGATCCTGGCACATGCACAGCAACAACTCCAGCCAGTAGGCTACCACACCAGGCCCTCCACCATTTTTATAAAATATCCACATTTGTTCATTTGAAAGAGTTACAGAGAGAAAGGGAGAGACAGGGGGAGAGAAAACTTCTACCCATTGGTTTACTCCAACAGCCTGCAGCAGCCAGACCTGAGCCAGACCAAAACCAGAAGCAAGGAATTTCATTTGGGTCCCAGTACTTGGGCCATCTTCTGTTTCTTTTCTTAGGACATTAGCAGGGAGCTGGATTGGAAACAGAGCAGAGGGGACATACGTCAGCAGCCACGTGGGCGGCGAGCACTGCAGTGGCTACTGTTCCCATCACACCGCAATGCTGGCCCCCCCATCACACCGCAATGCTGGCCCCCTAAACAAACTTTATCTCCTAGATTGTACCATTAAATTTCCCGAGTTTTTAGTATGAACAATTATTTGTGTAAAATTGTAGAAGTATACCAATTTATTCTTACAGCACATAACATGTTATTTCAGCAAGATTTTAAATCATTTTTCTAACACTAAAAATAGATTTTATTCCTGTGAATGTATTTTTGAGTAAAAAATTTTAAGAATACACAAATTAATTGGTAACCTAAAAGGCAATATTTTATAAATATGATCTGACAATAACAGAGGAACAACTAATATATTTAATGAGCTATTAGTAATGTTATATAATAATTATGTGATCTTGCTATATATACATATGTTATAATAGTATAGCAATATTTCACTATTATAATAGAATATAGTAATCTTTCAGGACAAAAAAATGTTGTATCACTCATATGTGAACCCAAAAGTTTAAAACTACAGTAACCCCTTCACATAAGCAGATTTGACATACAGTTCTTTGTACATTCCCCAGCTAGCCAGCAATGGCTGAATTCTGGAGGGAAATCCCCCACCGCTTCTGAACAATGATAAACTATATTCTACTAATCCATCCGCCGCAGGACTCAGCCTTTAAAGCAGCATTCTCACTCAGCCTCCTACGTCCAAGTTGCCATCACACTCAGAACTCCCCTCTGCAACTGGGCAGAAGATTGTTTTGACTGGAATTAGTCAGACAGAAGAACTGTACTGCCAACTGCTTCTTTGTACAGCACCTGCTGCCAGCGCCTAAATTCTTGTTATCTCCACAACACGGTTTAATCTTTTAACAGTTGGCTTATTGGTGAAGAGCAAAGGGGTCCTTTGTCTCTGCTTTGGGCTGGCACCCAGTACCAACACCATGCTGTTCTTCAAGAGATATTTTGCTGGACGGCTCCCAAGTGATTCTCCATAGAGCAGACACTTCCAGGCCGACTAACTCAGCTTCATTGCATGTTATTAAAAACAAAATCCTGCCAAGACTGGGGTTCTTGCTTAAAACTGATCATGGACATGATTTTTTTTTCCTTGTGATTTCATCTTTTTCTTCCATTTGTTTTGTTTGTTTGCTTTTGAAGCATTTATTTTAACAAAAAAAATTGTTAACACTTTTTAATTTATACAAAAATATATGAATTTCTCTGGAACACATGGCAAAAGGCCACTATGGAATGGAGCCTGATGAGAATATTAATTTTCCAAAATTTAGTGACACAGAAGGAAAGCGAAGTCATCCCAAGGCTGGAAGCTGCTAAAATCTCCAAACAAAATCGAGGTCCAGATCTGGTTCCGAAGGCAAATGTTTCCTTTAAAACTTCAATTTTGGCAAAAACTCTGTTTAATCCGATGATATAGCTTTAGCTCAAATATTTATGAGGAGAAAAGAAAAAGTGTGAAAAACTGATAGTGATCTGACAGCTTGCAATATAACGTGTAATACACAAGGTGTTTCAAAACTTGGTAGAAAATAGAAATAAAGTTTAGTTTGATACAAAAGGATTGCATAGTTTTTTTCTGAATGCCCATGGTATGCCAGAATTTTTAAAGATGTACCCAGAATAAACTTTCTAATTCCAATTCCCATGAAAAGAAGTGTCCTCAGGAAACATGTTTCTGCATATATTTGCATCAGTGTTCTTATTTATGATATCATTTATGTTGAAACTCTTGTTGAGTTAATACTTTCACAAGTGTCCTTTGAAAAATTTTTTCAGTCTGTTGTGAATTTTTTTGAGCAATTCTCTTTTATTTCTTTGAATACATAAATACACAGCCTCCTTTAAGTAAGGGACAGACTACAAGACAATGATTTTTTTTCTTGATAGGAGAACTTCACAGAAGAAAACTGTCATTCAAAACAAAATATTTTATTATACAAAAATTTTAGAAAATTTTCATTTTTGCTAACGCACTTAAGGCCAAGAGGAATAAATTTATACACAAAGTCATGATTATAAGAAATGTTACCCAAAATGTTTCTCATCATTTCTTAGCTGTTCCCTTCTCAATTGTTTCCCTCTAATTTGACAGGTTCAGCTGTCCCCAAGGCCAAGAAATACATAGGTTTGAAATGAGAAAATAGTACCTAAAACATAATTATAAAAACAAACATGGCAAAGGAATTGAGTGCAGGTGTGTGTTCTTAAATGGCTTGCAACTAGTGATCTGCAAAAAAAAAAGGTAAGAACTTGGAAAAGTCTTAGTCCTATATCCTAATGCTGAGGCCATCAGTTCAAACTTAAACTATAATTCTCTCTTTTCTCCTGTATTTGATGAATACAAAATACTGTTTCTGAATCAATTGCTCCCCAAAGAAATAAAGACTGATCTTTTTCTAATTTGCAACAACAACAAAATATATATAGTGCCAGAATAATATCCCAGTTCAGCAGTCCTGGATGTATTCTGCCAGCATCTGTAACTGCAAAGTGAACAAGTCAACTTCCAAAGAGTATACCGTAATTCTAAAATTGTAACTTGTTATTTCTTTTTCTGTTTTCATAAAGTTGTCACTAATGTCCTGCTGATGTCTGTGAAAAGGTTAGGATCAAAATAAACTTGCTTTCCATTTTGATAGAATATATGACTTGCCAAACACTCAAGCTCATTTCTTCTGCTGTATTTTCCCATAACCAGGCTTTCCTCAGCCTACTGTTCTCAAAATGTTTTTCTTTTATTTTAACTACCAGGGAGCTTACATTTCATCCATTTCGTGGAAGGATTTCACTTTATTGGAATCCATCTAAAAATGTTGCCAATTTAAGAAACAATAGAAAGCTCTTGAAAGATGTATTTACCAAATGGTCATTTTGTAGTAGAATCCAAATGTTGCTTTGAAATGGATAAAAGTGCAACAGGTTGTAATTGTCAGGGTTGTATCTGTCTTCCACATTACAAATGGGGATTATATGTTCCAAATTTTTCTCTGTAGGAAAGGTTTTTACTTGTCAATAAGAGATTTAAAGGAACAGTCAGGGGTTGGGCACTGATATCTTTATCTCAAGCCAATTTTGAAACGTATGCATCAAGAATATCGGCTTTTGCGTCCCTTCCCTCAACCCCAGTTGTAATCCTCTTAGTGTCTTTTTTACCTCAATGAGCAGAAAGATTCTACAACAAAATGCCTTATAGATATCTGTCACCTCTGCCGGAATCCATCTTTAAAAGTGCTCCTTTTCAGGTAATTAAATTACTATTCCCAAATCGCTGATCACATCTCTGTAAATGCGGAAGGTTTTTTTCTGAAAGGATTTTAAAGATTTCACAGCTAAGGTGAGGGGAGGGGATATTTCTTAAAAGCTCGCTCTTACAATTTATCAAATCTTTGCTTTCTCAGACTGATATTTTGAATGGACTAAAATTTATTCAAAAATCAGTTTTTTCTTCCAAAAATATAATATAAACATTTACTTAAGATGAATGCTTTATCTGTTTCACTAAATGGTTAGAACCAATTCATAATGAAAAATTAATTATGGAGCCTTATTTTTTCTGTTTTTCAATGGCAGAAACAAAGTTACCACGTAAAGTTCCATTTTGACACCAAAGCAAAGAGAAAAATCTTGCTTTGGAGTTCCTTTCCTCTGATATCTCATTCATAAAAACTGTTCAGTTTTGAGATGATTGTTTGGAATGAGTTAGTTAACCAGCGAATCCAATTCACCATCGTTAATCCTGGGCATACAAATATGGCAGCAAAGACAAGGATGAACACGATGTCCTTTGCCATGGAGTAATTTTTATTTTAGCAGGGAGGATAAGAAAAGGTCTTCCATAACACAAGGACCAGCTCAGATCTTTGCTCTGCTCCTATCGTTTTTACTCTCTCCGTGTTTTCTACAGAACACCACCCAGAATCTCCAATACTGAATTAAGACCCTTCACACCTGATCCCAACAGACCCTGTAGGATCAACCATCCTTCCCTGTATACCCCAGGGCAACCTGAAATGTGCTCAGATTTAGTCTTGTTGACTTTAAACAATGCAAAAACATACATTTTTAAATGTTGTGTAAGGAACAGTTTCTAGTCAATGTCATTGTAAATTGCACAGAAGGGATGCCAGGATGTCTGATTTGGGGATGGGGTGGGGTAAAAGAAAAGATTTCATAAATTAATCACAAATCATATAGGGCTTGCATGATGGGCAGGATTTTGACAGCATTTATTGAATGCCAACTATATGCCAGGCTGCATGCTAGGATATGGCACAAGGGTGACAGAGAAAACCGGGGGGTGGTGAAGAAAGAAAAGGAGTGGTTGAATTCCAGGCCGACTCATCCACATGGGCATAATAATAGAAAGCATGGGGTGCTTGACTAACACACAAAGGACATATCAGAGAACAGTCAGCCTTGAAAGATAGGTTATGGGTAAATTAAAAAAAAATGCATTCATCAAAAATGCATTGTGTGCCTGCCCTACATTCAAAAATATGTTAGCACTTAGGAATACAAAGATGTCGCTGCCCTAAGAATTTTCCATCTAGTTGAAGAGAAAAACATAAAAGCAAGTGCCTTTATCAAAATATAAATGCTAAGAATACAGAGGACAAAAAGGAGAGTTCTGACAACTCAAATAGGACCTGAGAGGCTTTCTGAAAAAGAGAAGACATAGGCTTAGGCGAGGGATGGTGATGGCTGAGGTGCAACCTGGGAAAAGAACACCAGCCACACATCAAGTTTACCGAAATGGAATGCAAGCAATGGTACAGTCTGTTAGAATACAGTGCAGAGTGCAGAGAAAATTGAGACAAGAATATGGGAAAAAGAAGAGATAGTAGGCAAAGACTGGATGAGAACCAGGAAGACCAGAATGAGTCAGATATAAATTTGTTACATCAGTAGGCAACATGTTGCAAATGGATTGTTTGAGCAGGGAAAACGCTGCTACAGTAAAAAAAAAAAAAAAAGTTCCAAGAAGATACTTAATAAATCTTAATGTCAAATGACTTTAAATACAAAAGCATTAATTAGTCTGCCATTTTACTTTCATTTTATACACTCATTTGGAAATAGGATTATAAATATTCGCTTCTTCATTTATAATTACACCATTTATGTTCACATGCTTCTTAAAAACCAGTCTTTTCAGCATGAATTTTGGTGTAATCAATTGAACAAGCATTATGGAGAAATTTAAAAAGTGCACTTGGGGCTTTGTGTCATCTGCAATGTATGTTCTAAATAAAAGGTCCGAATCAGTTGACAGGAAGTCCTACTTTCTTTGAGCCTCTGTCTTGTAAGAGCCTTTTGGTTTTGCTTTTTATGTATTAAAAAAAAAAAAAAACCAAAGCGTAAGCAGTGAGAATGAACAACAACCCTACAGAGTTTGCCAGCTAAGAAAAACAGAAGACTTATTCCTTCTTTACTGACATGTTTAACCTTTTATGGGTTGGCTTGAGGGAAACAGCCTTCTGTACTGGAAGGATAAATGTTCCTTTGCTATGTTGAGCTATAAGAGCAAAAATGTCAAATCCTAAAGCACTGAGAAGTAACAGCCATCCTAGACTTTCAAAACAGACCTCTGCTACTAAAAGTGCACTAATACAAACAAATCAAACCGTAGGACTTAATGACACATTTCAGATCGACCTTTTTTGAAAATTAGGAATTGTTTCAGTTTAGCAGAAAAAAGTGCACATGACAAATTGTAAAAATAATTTAGTGTAAAAAACTTCGAAAACACACAAATGCACTATGTCCAATACATAGACGGCACTTTGGTGAATATAACATGTAAAACATTACCTTATTCTACAGAAAATCATTCTCCTATCCACCTTTTCAAAGTGATCAGGTATCTGCTGACTGACTGGAAAGTCTTCACAAACTTCCCAAAGCAATACTCTGTAAGGTGTCATAGTTTCTACAAATTGGGCAAAAGAAAGGTTTTAGAATGTTACCTTACAATAATTTATGATAGTAGGGGTTAGTGGCAAATTATCAGAACAAAATATCATAATTTTTATCTATGGAAATCATCCTCATTAAATCTACATTATAAATACAACAGGCTAAAAATAATAAAGAATCTCTTTATACTTAGAATAGTTGCATTTACATACCAGTTTGGTATTTTAGGAGGAATCATAGTCTATTGAGTGGAGAAAAACCACAAACAGAAAGGGTTGGGTTTTGTTCTTAGTTCAATTACTCACTTACCTGTAAACGAGCTAAATTTGATTCTAAAAATCAAAATCATTTGGCTCAACACTGATATATTACAAAAAATCATGCAATGCTGTACTTAACAGAAACCAGTCCAAAAATGGGTTATAGCAATGCTTATCAATGCTTTGAGAGATATAATAAGGGTATAATTATTACTATTTCAAATAATGCACTTTAAATTATAGAAAGAAAAATGGAGTGTAAAAATTAAGTAAATAATCTGAAAAAATTATTTTACATTTAACAGGGACAGATTCACATTGTAGTACTTAATAGCCTAGATCCAATTTGAGTAATTTAAATAAAACAGTATCCACTGAACATGGAGAAGTAAAATTATGAAGGAGTTGAGAGAACGAAAAAAAAAAAAACTCACAGCTAGACATTGAAAGGAAAGGGCACAGGCAAATCTAACAACTTTAGAAAAGATCATGACAGACAAAACCTTACAAATGAAAAATACTTGTAAAGCATAAAACGAACTATTTTCCATACATAGAGGGAAAGAGAAGAAGCAAAACAGATTTCAATCTCACTTGAAAAGTACAAGCAATCTTTAGGGATTAACCTTTTAAGCATCTCCCAAGGAAGTCGGCTGGGAGTGTCATTCTGCATGTTTGGCATGGATGTAGTTAGATGAACTGAGTCAACCTCATGACACTTCTGTGATGGTTCTCTGGAGATGGCCTCTACTCAGCCTTTTCATCTATGAGGAAGGACAGCTGTAATTGTTTGAATCATCAAGTGCTAAAGTAAGATAGGACCTAACAGACAGAACACCTAATCCAACATAGCATGAGTGCACAAACTCCAGTATGAGAATGACTAGTCATGTTCCTCCTGAAATTCAAATTAGCTGATTTATACAAAATTAAGTCTAGCTCTTCAGTCACTTGTTCAGATGTTCAACAGTCACATAGCATATTTCCATCATCACAGAAATTTCTATAGGACCAAAATAGGTTAAAGGTGAAAAAAAATTTTTAATTTTTATTTTGGATGATGCTTACATAGTTGATCAGGGTGTGAAGAATCAAAGATCAGGGAAAAGTAGATGTGATCACTGATTCCAAGCTTTCCATTTCCTTTTCCTGTATCTGGGGGAGGAGGGAGACAAGAGGAGAAGCCACACCAAGCATCCTAAGCATCCGAGGGGTGAAGAATGGCCACCCAATATTGACCCAGGGTCCTGATGTGCACGTGCCAAGGGTTCTGCCCAGGTGGTTCAATAGTTCTGAAATGTTGTCGGTCTCACCAATCACTTTCAATGCCCATTGGCTGACACCGTCAACCTAGAATCTCAATTTGCCCAGATATTAGCTGTCATCTTTGGGGTGGGGAAGTTCTCCAATCTGTTCTGTTCTCCTTCCTCTGCTATGGTACCAGATGTCTTCTAAAGATCCTAGCGGGTTACCATATTCTCTAGGTGGATCTGGGCCAGCTGTCAACTACTCCATCTTATCCACTGAAGGGGACCAGTTCTGCTACACCCCCAATCCTGGGGCTCATGGACCTGGCACCCACCATGCAGGTGAACCCAAGAACCCAGGATAGGGGTGAAGATGTTTAAATGATCTGAGTTAGAATCCTGACTAGTGTGTGCTGGCTGAGTGAATCTGGGAAAATTGCTTAGTCATTCTGTGCCTTGGTTTCCAGCTCTTAAAATTAAAAAACAAAAACAAAAACAAAACCCTGGGTATATAGTAGAGTTACAAGGAATAATTGGATGAAAGTAATTATTTAAGATAAATAAATTCTCACCTAATTCTTTTATAATCATTCTAGACCTATGATAGAGAACACCAGTTTTTATTATCTATCTGTCCTGGACAATCCCAGCCGAGGGGCTAGAAGCCCACATCCTCTGGCGTCTACTCCCTGCTTCCATTCACTGTCCCACCAAGCCTCAACACATGGCTCTTATTTTAAATACAAGCACTCCTACAGAGCACATATGATTCTAAATTTTAATGACTCCATTTAAAATTAGTAACTTAAGAGACGACTGATATAAACAGCTTCCACATTTCAAAAAAAAAAAATCTGCTTCAGCAAAATAGATTCTAGATTCTGCTTAGTGTCCCACTTTATATTTTTAAAGCTAAATTAGTAAGTTTTTCAGGTATTACATCATTATAACATGAAATAAGTCGATAAATTAATTACATATATAAGGCAGTTTAAAAAATTGTATTTTTTAGTGTTTCAACCCTTTCAATCCAGAAAACCCTGACTACAGGTGCTTTTGTTTCAATTAAACACACGTTAATTTACTTGTCACATCCAGGTAGTAGGACAGCAGTATGATCCCAAAAGGCTTTGTACACAACTACGATGCCTTCTCTGTCAGATTAGTGACTCCGCCAAAGGTCAAATTCAAAATAAGGCTAAAAGGTGATCTGGAAAAAAAGTTTAAAAAAAGAGCCCTAAAAGCTATCTGCAAAACTGCACATGCACTTAAATTTTTTTTGCACAAATAAGTGATAAAGCACACAATATCAGAGTCAAATGAAGTTAGAAAAAATAAATTTCCTATTACATAGCACTATCATTAGTACCCTACATAGGTCCCCAAATGCACTTTTCACTTTATTTAGTTGATTTACAATATGTCTCTAATAGCTAGAAGACATGTAACTTTACAAAGTAATTACAAGAATAATACCAAAGCATTGGTTGAGGAAAAAACAGTTATCATTCAAATAAATTTCTTTTCCACATGTAAATGAAATGTAACATTCATAGTGGTCTTTGGGAACAACAGTGTGAATTAATCTTTAATATCTGGTTATGAACAACTATTTTTATGTGAGTTCATCCAGTGTTATGCTGACTTGACATTCCTATTACCTACGATTAGGCACTCTGTTGTAAATGAATTTGGAGATTAAAGACAAATTGAAAACAAATCTACAATAAATGGGATGGTCACTACAAGCCAATTTTCTCTAAACTGACAGCAAAGACTTGTCACTTAACTCTAGAATTAAATGATTCAATCACATCACCTGTGCAGTCCAATCATCAAAACATTTAAAATGAATCTAGTCCTGAGAAAACACTTGGACAAATCAAGAACGTGGTATATTTCTCAAGAGATGTATCTGGATGCTGAGAAGAAAAAATGGCATGTTTTAGATTTTAAAAAAAGTACAATAAATGATAAAATACACTACACGAAGCTTGCTCGAATCCTGGATTATAACAAGATCTAAAGCATGTGTGGAATTCCTATCATGGATTGCACACCGTGTGGGCTGGGTTAGACACTATAATGTGATACAGAATGATTTGCTCTTTAGTTATGTGGCCTGAAACATTTAGGAGAGAAATGTACTGATTATCCGGAATTACAGTTAAATATTTGAGACAGAAGAGATGAAAGAGAGATAAAACAAATTTGATATACTCTCAATGACCAAGTCTAAATAAAGGATTTCTAGGTGTTCCAAGGATAGTTTAAGCTTTTCTGTGTAGGCTTAAAATCTCTCAAAACAAACAAACAAACAAACAAAAACTTACAGAAAATCTTAAATGACTCAAAATGAAAGCATATTTTGGCAAAATATTTTTTTGCAAATGATTAGTCTGACTTCCCGATATCAATATAGATTAGGCCTGTTTGAAATATTTCCTGAAAATGAATGCATAGTATATACTGTACACCCTGTGAATGTATTTTAAACTAGAAGGCAATGACATTTTAGACACAAATATTAAAAACTCCAAAGGTAGCAAAATGCTGTACTGAGGGTCTGGTACTTAATTTTGGATTCAAAAACCAGGAAAAAAATGCACTGTCCAGTTAAAATAAAACACAAGTAAATCTGTGAAAATTATAAACTTCTCCATCTACAATAATCAGATGATTCCAGATTACTGGCATTTTACTAGTTATTCTGCAAACATGATCCAATTAGCCAAGAGCAAGTGGTTGTTCTTACAACATATTTTATTTGAATAAACATAATTTTAGAAATAAAAAATACTCATTATTTTCGCTTCAATAATGACATAAGGCAGAAATAAGAATGACATATTTTTATAGAAATCTGTCCTCATACTTGGAAACGATTGTTCAATCATTCAAGAATTCTTGCCACTTATAAAATCTTTGTTATTTCTATCATTTTAAAAAACCATATATTTTGATAAATGCCTGTGGGAAAAAATGCTATTTCTAATGATTAAGCTTAATTCCACAAATTAGACAGCCTAAGAAAGGATAAGCTTTTTCAAATTTCATTCTACTGGGACACCTTCATGAACTCCTAAGCAGATTTGTCTCTGTATTTAAAATATCAACTATTTAAATATTTACCATATGTGATCAGCTCCTGCTTTGCTAGTTTTTAGGCATATTTATGTGGATTACATTATAATTAACATACGATCAGTTATGCTATGTATGCAACATTACTTTTCCTTATTCTGTTCCACAGTTAAATAATGAGCTAAGAAAATTAAAAATATGCAGAAAAAGTGTGTTTAAGGCTCTTGACAAGCAGTTTTGGGGTTCATCTCGATGTGTACTATCAAATTACACATACATTTCCAAGATATCCAACGTAACAGCACAGCTCATGAGTGTCCATATGCAAGAGCTTCTTTCTTTCTTCAGAAATTCAGGTAATGTTATGCAGGAATTTACCAATCTACAAAAATTTACACAATGCTCAGCAATACCCAGTAATTATTATGGGATAATGTAAGGCACTTTTGAAGAATATAACTTTGATAGGATAAGCCTTACAAGCTTTACCAATTTATCTTTAACTGTCCTGTCATTGGTGCTTAAAAGGTTAAGACTTTATTTGTGAAAACATAGAGAGATAGTGGGGACTCATGTTGTCTCCAGCTTCATAAATCTTGCTTAAGATCCTTTTCAATTACCATCCATTTCTCCTTTAAAAAGGGACAAAAAAAAATAGAGGAGTGGAAACAGGTCAGGGCAGTGTGCGACAATGACAGTGTGATGGGCTTGGGCCCCCCGTGGCGTTTCCATCTGCTATCATTAAGGTGACTACTCAGACATGAACAAATCCCTCGTGCTGTGCTGACAGGCAGACTTCAAGAACTATGACAAGGCATTAAGACAGAGAGTCAGAGACAGAGAGAGCAAGAGAGAGAGAGGCACGGAGATCATATTCCACAAACAAAACAATACTGCTTTGCAAGAATGTCCCTTGAAATTTTATTGGAATTCAACATTTTAAAAAAAAATCCTAAAAATATTACCTGGCTCCTCGACTCTCATTTTCAATGAAATCCGTCCTGGAAAGATTAAAGGTAGACAGAGAATAAACAACACACACCTACCTGTATGCTTTACCATAGGACAACCAAAATTATTGTTTATTCTTCAGCAAAGGTGGAATCATAATTTCTTGGCCATGCACCTCGAAAAGCTGGATGGAAGTAAAATGGAGGCCTGGTGGGTTGATGGCGGAACCCTGAAGCCTTTGGTGAATCTTGAGAAGTGACTGGTGGGGGAGGGAAGATGTAGAAGAAGAGATAGCCTAAAACGTGGACATCCGTAATAAACTGTCTCTGCTCTGTAACAAATGAAGTCCAAACAAATGATAATTAAATTCATATACAATGTTAAAAGAAGTGTGAAATGACAGCAATGTTTAGCTCAGTGTAAAGTAACAAAATGAGCATGTGCTTTTAACCAGCAGGGGGTGCCACAGGCTTGTGATTGAGCTCTGACCCTTTGGCACAGGGACTGAAAGCAGATGTGACGGTCTCACAGAAAGAGCATTTAGCAAAGAGCAGAAGCTCAGAGCAACGCTCTTCTTTGATAAGGGTTATGCTTTTCTTGTCTCAGCTACACATTTTTCTGGGAGCTTCCAACTAGGTTTGATTTTTACAATAGGCAATCGGTCTCCAACTAACCTCAGGTAAATAATGGTACAAACCATTCCATGCTTATGTGATAGCAAAAAAAAAAAAAAAAAAGACTTTCTGCCCAAGCCAGTTTACTTAGAAGAACTCTTTTCTGGATGCATCTTAATTACAGACCCCAGAGAAGCTTATGAGCGTCTTCAGTAATGGATGTTTTCAAGTTGTGAATCTGAGATTATTGAAGTGTGAAGTATAAAATGCTGTCATTTAAGGTTTTAAATAACAGCACTGTCCATGCTTGCTTCCATCCTACATAGAGTCTGTGCATTATCAAGATTGTTTCTAAACAGAATTATGTATTTAATTGAAAGATTTACAACCAAAAGGAAAAATAGAGAAATCACCCATCTGGGGGTTTATTCCCTTCATGGACCAGGTGAAAGCAAGGAGTTAGGAACCTCTTCCAAGCCTACCATGAGGATTGCCTAATATTTTCCCCAAACTATTAGCAGGGACCTAATATTTTCCCCAAACTATTAGCAGGGACCTGGATAGGAAATAGAGCCACTGGGACACTAACTGGTACCCATACGGATGTCAGTAGCACAGGCAGCAATGTTATCCCCTAAGCCACAATGCTGCTCCCATCCCCATATGGCACTTTAAGATGCCCTTTCTTTCTCATCCATCACCTTTGTCTCGGTGCTTCTGCTGCCTCCTCTGCATCTTGTAGCTATCCATCACCCTCTTCTCTCCTTTCTGTCACGGGCTTCCTTTTCTTCTCTCCCTTGTCAGTTCATGTGTCTCAATTTCTTGCTGCTCCATTATGCCTGCACAGATGTGGATACAGTTGTGTTCTTTTATTGCCTCACCGTTGCTCAGAGAGTCCCTTAAAAAAGTCTCTTTATGCTGATCCTCATTGAAGGTATATTACAAAGTCCTAAATGTTCAAGGAAAGAAACTTGTAGTTCTGCCACACATCTCACATGTCACTGATGGATTATAAACTGTTGACTATGTAGAATATTTTCTTTGGGCAGGAATTATGTCTATAATATACCTAAATAAATAGTTTCTGATAAGAATTAGTATCTCCAACTTTAGTGCTTCCATCATCCCTCCAATAACCAGATCTCTCTCTTTCTTTTCCTTTCTTTTTTTTTTTTAGTTTTAATGTTCAAAAAGACTAAAAATGGTGGCATTTTTCTTTTCGTTCACTAAAATGAGTACTTTCTAGCCAATAGGGCCATATCTTTTGATTAAGAAGTATTATCACTAAGCAATGGTTTAAAACGGTATTTAAATGCTACTAAAGTATAATACAGGATGTCACTGTCTAAAATATAATCATCTGTATTTGAAGATTTACTCCCTGCCACATTAGAAACATAAAAATCATTTTGAAATTTATGCGTTGTATTTCCAAAGCCCCACATTTTATTTCGATATGGTCTCAGCCCTAGAGCTTTCTTCTGTTGCTATTATTTCTGAAAAACATGTGATCTCTTTTTAAATCATAGGGATTTTTACTTTACAGGCATCACCTTTGTGTAAAAGGAAGATACAAAATGTTTAAGGTCTGGTCCAGGGAAGAACTGTGTGTGCATAAGAAATAAGGTGTGTGGTTGACACAGGATGTGAGCATCTGACCATTAAACCACATCCACTTTCATAGGAGTTGCAGTGCAATCTCTATTTTCCTCAACTTGGTGACAGACTGCACATGAAGTGTTCAAAGATGAGCATTCAACAGCCTACAGGAGGTAAGGGCTTCCGCACCTTTCATCACCAGGTCATTGGTTAAGGCTGGGCTGTGGCAACACAAAATTGTGATAATCTTCACCCGTTTATCTTTAAAGCTATCATCACCAGGCCTTTATAGGATAAGAATTTGTTCAGGGAGCTGAGGATACATCTCAGGCTAGTGTCTCATACAAGTGACCACACAGGGAACAGTCATGCTCAGGTGTCAATGTGATTTACAATGCTCCTAATTAAAGTACTTATCCCCAGAACTATTTGCATGTAGAAGTAAAGCACAATTTCAGTGTGTGCCATAAATCAACACAAAGTTGCTATAGAAAAACATATTCCTATATAAGATCATATAATTGCCATCTTTGATATTAATAGGAACCCAAAAGTAAAATGTCCATAGTAAACAAAAAAAGAAAAAGAAAAAGAAAGAGATATTGAGAAAGTTCTAGGTGGTTTGTAAGATCAGGGATGTGAAGGTTGGAAAAGAAAACAGCCATGTCTTGGAGTCTTTCTCTAATCAGTAAAAATTAGATTTCCCTCTGTCACTTCAGGGGTCAGTTAGGAATCCAATGAACGTCTCCCAGTTCATGTGTAAGTTCTTTGATTGGCTGTAAAGCTCAGGTAACAGAGACCACAAGAGAGAGGTGAGAGCAAGAGTACTGAACTGAAGGGGGAGAAAGGAGAGCAGGCTGAACAAAGCAGGGCAACAGAGTCCGAACACTGATGTGCACTCACTCGGGCGCATAACCCCAATTTGTACACAACAGGGTGTTCAGTGTTCTTTTATGCAAGACAAAGACCCAAAATAAAGACCCTTAACTGGTTGGTTCTGCCTGAGAAACATCCCAATTGTCTGGAAAATAGGCAAAGGTAAGAGTGTCTAAGATAAACCAGCTGGACTTGGCTCACAATGAGCAGGAAAGAAGACCGGGCTGCAAGTTAAATGACTCAGGGTGCAGAGGTGGGGAACACTCAGTCTGCAGGCCACAGGAGGCCCACAAAATCATCTGTAGGCAACTTACAGACAGTACTTGCAGTTCAACACAGCTACAGAGGGTTAATTATTATGCTGTTCATTTTATATGGCCCACAAGCAATGTCATAAATATCAAGATGACCCTTAGTTAAAAAGAAAAAAAAAAGTTCTCTATCCCTGAAGACTTGGAGCATACCCTTCATTGAACATCATGCCACTTCTGTGTAAATGAACAAAACCCCAATATAACAAAACCAGGCCAGTTTAACTAAATCTGCGTACACAGATTTCCAAAGTGAAGTTTAGGTCCTTTTAGGGAAGGATCCCCAAGTTAATACTACACAAAAGTGTGACAGCCTCAGGGATTTAGCAAATTTTAGAATAGTTCTGTTATTAGATCAGCAAATGGTTGATATGCTGTAAACAGCTTTAAGATTCAGTTGTCACAATTAATTATAAGTAACTTGGAGGACAACTGTAATTAGTGCTAAGCAGTCAGTAAACTCAGTTCTTCCAGCACAGCGCCAGCTTGGGTTGGGCTATCAGAACCCAATTCGTTCTTTTTTTTAACTGGTGCAAACAGAGATCTTTCCAGTGTCTTTGCCATTTTCAAATACCTGAAAACTAACATGTTCAAAGATAAAAAGAAGTGCATACGCACAAATACACATGCTATTTGTATGTCGCCTGTCCGTATATGTATGTACAAAGGCAGAGAATTTTTGTTTTGCAAAGCAATGTGTCAGCTGAGTGTTGTGTGTGTAGAAACTTTGCAAAGCAAAAACTGACTGTATCAAGGCATGCAAGTAAATAATAGACAACTTAAATCAATGGTACTAAAAAATGCTCTATCCCCATTTGGTTTTAGTGTCTTATCTGACTGGCCGTTATTTGCTAGAGAAATCCTTAAAATAGAAGAAAACCTGGAGATTAAGGGAGGAATCAATGTCCACGGTACATGTTTAAATGGCACAAGTGTCAGAGAGAGGTCAGCCAACCATCAATTAGCCAGCTCATTTCATTCCTCTGCAAAAACATAGAACCAGAAATTATGTGAGAAATGTTTGACTTATATTAAAAATATATCAATGTGCAGCTCATTTTTTTTAACTCACTAAAAGGAAATTCAACCTGACAGATGTATTGCATAACAGTACGACGGAAGTAATCCATTTTAAGTGCATATATCCAACAAGTTGTTGAAAACAGAGATAGAATTCATAACATTGCATTATGCAACACTAGCTGACGGTGGGGGAGAAACATACCAGCAAAACTTCTGGTCAAAAAGATTCAAATAAACCAGTCCCGACAGAACGGCTCCACCAGAGTGAACACAAACCCTCTGACTGCACTGGGGATCCGTGCGGGCCGGGCTCGTCACCAGGCAAGAAAGGACAGGCCTGGGGAGGCCTGATGAATAATTTAAATCCTTGCTTTCCATTTTTTTTTCTCAAAAGTTTTCTTGGTTTTTTTTTTTTTTTTTCATATGTCTATCACATTGGTGTAGCCATCTTTTACATTTCTACTGGAGACAATTTAAATTGCATTTCATTTGTCTTAGCCAGTTGGGATTACAATGTATTTTGGGAGCACTTCTTGAGCTTTTAGGCAAAAAAAAAAAAAAATTGTTTTTCAAGGCAATCACATAAAGATTGGAAGTCTCATTCCTCTCAGTGGTTTTCCTTGAGCTACTGATGGCCCAGTGGAGACGCTGCAGCTCTCAGCACTGGTGCGTTGGTATTCCACACACCAAAGATCTCTTTTCCTAACAGTGATTTTTTTTAAATTACTTTTCCTAGTACAGACACCATTCTGAGCAAGCCATCTCTACTTTTACAAAACTGGAAAACCCAGCTGCTGCCTGCAAAGTGAAAATAAGTAATGTGGAAGATTTTGATTATTCCATGAATCTCCTTAGGTACCTAATTTGGAACAAAATTCCTTAACAACAAGCAACCTTTAGCAATGAAGGTCTAGGTGGCACACACTCTGCAAGGTTAGTGTTGCCAAAGCTCAGATTGAAGAACTTATTGATGTTCCTTTGTCGAGACTTGCTGCACACGGAGTTAGAGTGCAGCAAATTATATTCTAGGAAATAGCAGTGAGAGTGTTAGTTGCCAAACTGAGAAAGCAGAGAGGACTTGGTCAGCACCTAACAACTCCGTTAGCTCACTGCTTTGTTCACTACCAGCAATGCAACTTCCCATCTGGATCCAGAAATGTGTTCTCAAAAACCAAAGAAATTGGCCATGACCTCCAAAACTGCAATGGCAGAATACAAAAAGAGGCATTGCTGTGTTTAAGCAAAAGGCTAGGTGTCTAAGTGGAAAGAAGGCTGCCTCCACTAAAAATGTATAATGTGTTTTGGCTGCCCACAACTATAAAACTCTCCAGATTCAAATCCTGAGAGTCTATTTTTCTTAAGGCTTCACTCTGGGCTTTAAGCTCCATTCTGTTTTTCTCTCCTTGGCCTCAGGAGTATTTTCATTTCTAATTCTGATATTTGAACAAAAACAGATCTCCAAACAGAGAACTATTTCTATTGCTGATGTTACAAGAAAATACAAAAAAAAAAAGCCTTTACTTTTACACTACCTGACTTTTTGCTTAAAAAAAAAAAAGAAAAGGTTGCTGCCTTGGCTTCCCAGTGCTGCAAGGGTTCAGCCCACTGAGGCTCTGAAATTACTTATTCTTGGAATGGGACAAGAAAAAAGAAAAGAGAAAAAGAAAAAGAGAAAGAAAAGGCTAGCTGGAGCAAGCTCTGAATTCCAAGGAGTAGCGTCCTAGAACCCCCGCCCCCCAAATAATGATCCAGATCCTCTTGAAAAATATGGTAGCTGAATGGTTATTGAAGAAACACACAGGAGTAGGAATTTATTTCAATGACCCAAGTTACACAAAATAAGGAAATATTTCCCACGCACTGCAGTCTTTCTATTGTCCTTCATATTGGCTTTTCTTGAACATGAATAAATTAGATTAACACTAATGTTTCATTGTAATGTAAATCAATTCTTTCATTTAACGTATTTGCTGATATATAAATACTGAGGGCCTGCCATGTGCTGAAGCACCATTCAGGTACTTAAAATACCTAGTAAAGTGAAGTTCCTGTTCAGGAGGCATTCAGCCTCTGCTGTATTAGAGAGCGAGACACTATACACAATACACAGTCAACAGACTCATCAAACGACACAGCACAGTCAGGTCACATTCAGATCATGCGGGTCATACAATTTGGTGAGTCTTCTTTAAAAAAGAAACGCAAAGCTACATGTAAAATATTCAGTAACATTTTCTCTAAAAAGTCTAGCAAGTTAATTTTGTCTTCACTTTAGCATGGTGAATCAAATTGTTTTTTCACTACTAATTAGAAAAGTTTTCTCAGTGTCACAACTTTATTGGTGATTTCATAAAAATCCTTTGGATTGATGTCAAATTTGGGAAAACTTTGATTAGAGTTCTTTAGGAGTTGCAAAATGGGAAAGAATTTATTGCAAACCAATTGACTACATTAATTTTGCTCCATTTTTTTTCTCCATGATCCAAATCCACCTGCATTTTAAAATGTAGGTTTTTTTAAATCCAATTCTTAAATAATCATTTTACATATTTTAAGGGCAGGGCTACAGAGGGAGAGACAGAGAGAGAGACAGACAGACAGAGGGCAGTTTTCTATCTGCTGATTTGCTGTCCCAATGTCGCAATGGCTGGCGTTAACCTTGGCCAAAGCCAAGAACCAAAGATTTGCACAGGTCTCCCACATGGATGGCAGGGGCCCAATGACTTGGGCCATTTTCTGCTGCTTTCCCAGGAGCTGGATCATTAAGTAGAATGACCGGGACTAAAACCAGCACACACAGAGAATGCTGGCACTTCAGATAGTAGCTTTACCCACAATTCCACAACACCAGCCCATTCTTATCTTATTTGAAAAGCAGAGACAGATAGTGAGATCTCCCAGTTACTGAGTCAGTGTGCAAACTCGTGTAACAGCCAGTGTCAGGTCAACCAGCCAATTACCAGGGATGCAAATGAGGTCTTCCATCTGGGAGGCAGGGACTCCGCTACTTAAACTACCAACTCTGTGGAGTGGGCATTAGCGAGAAGATAGAATCTGAAGTGAAATCTAGACACTCTGAAAGGGAATGTGGGCATTCTGTGTAGGGTTAATCGGCTGTACTGAGTGTGTCCCTGTTCCTCCTCCCAACCCCCACATACATACACATGCTCTTGGTGCCAGAAACTTTACCATAAGCCAAAAAGAAATGAAGGAAGGGATCTGATACAGTGGTTAAGACACCCCCATTTGAAAATGTTCACATTCCACATCCCTGAGTTCACATCTTGGCTCTTCTCCTAATTCCAGCTTCTGGCTAATGCACACTCCAGGAGGCAGCAAATAATGGTTCAAGCAGTGTGATCCCCACACTCAAAGGGGCAAGGGTTGAGTTCCAGGCCACTGGCCTCAGTCTCGATCAGTCTCAACTACTGCAGACATTTGAGGCGAGAACTAGTGGGGAAGAGATCGCTCTCTTTTTTCCTTCCCCTACTCTTTCTCTCCCTCCTTCCTTTTCTCCCTGTTTCTCTCTGTCACTTAAACAAATAAATAAATATCTCACTCCAGAAGAGAGTGAGGGAGAGAGAAAGCAATATGCTTTATGTCCACCAGATTATATGTATATTCCTGGAAAGTCTTCTAACACCAAAGTTAATTATACAGAAATATAATGCAAAGCACTGACTACATTGCATTGTACCCAAACTACTCATAGCCCTAACTCAGCTTTCCCTTAGTTTTACTTTGAAAATGACTGCGGTCACTTCTGCACTGGTTGGTACATGGCATCACATGAAGAAGAGGAAATTAGAGTGGAAAGAGATAATGATCTCAAGCAAACATAGTAAAAATATTCAGTCTAGCGGCTGGAGTCCTTGCTTTACATGTACCAGCATCCCGTGTAGGTGCAGGTTCTTATCCCAGTGGCCCCACTTCCCATCCAGCTCCCTGCTTGTGGCCTGGAAAAGCAGCCGAGGACAGCCCAAAGCCTTGGGACCCTGCACCCATGTAGAAGACCCCAAAAAGATTCCTGACTTCTGGCTTCAGATTAGCTCAACTCCAGCCATTGTGGTCATTTGGGAAGCGAAATAGCACGTGGAAGATGTTCCTCTCTGTCTCTCCTCCTCTCTGTATATCTGACTTTCAAATCTTCAAATATGTATATGTAGATAGATATCTCATTTGCAATTTTAAATGATCACATAAAATAGCATGTGAGAGGCGAGAGGTAAGGGAGTTAGACAAGCAGATAGCTGACTACAGGTGCTGGTAGCTTTTAGAATAAATACAACGGACATGTTCAAGGAACCATCTGGAAGTTATTAAAACTAAAGTTACAGAGAGGGATAGTAAGTAAGTACAAAATCCAAGGAGCATGATAGGGTGGGGAGTATAATGGTGAATTATGGGAGGTTTTGAAACAACAGTAACAGCATCTGAATTAATCTCTTAAAGCATCATTAAGACTTACAGCTTGAGAATGATTAAAGTTAGATAGTTTATAGTATGGATGACAGTGGCTACAAGAAGAGAGTTAGTAATGGGTATGATAAG